TCTGGAAATGAGCACTTCTTAGCATTTTTAACCCATGTTCCATCCTATTAAACATAAAAACCTCATACTCCCATTGAATGTAATTTGTGACTTCAAAGCTATTACAACCAAAACCAAAACCAAACCAAAGCAGGTAAGTTTTTATCAGTTTTTTTAGTGTCTCATCATAACCATTTACAAATTCATTTACTTACAAATACTTGCATAAATGGACAGATATTATTAATAATCATTTTTAAATCTTGAAGACAAAAAAAGATTTTAAAAAGCCTATGAAGACTAATGATGACAATGAAATATTCACTGAGACTGTTCGCAAATGATATTTATTGGGACCTTCTCCTCTCCTCCAGAGTTATTATTAATATAAATGATCTTTCCTTTACTAGCATTCAGCCAGAAGAAATGCTGGCTGACACACATATATATACACACACACACACATACACACATATATATACATACACACACATATACACATATATATACATACACACACACACATATATACATACACACACACACATATATACATACACACACACATATTAGGCCTTCAATATTTGTTCAATGTTAAAAGGTGATACGTCCTCTTTTACTATTCTGAAAATAACAGAATCCTAATATAGTAACCTTTCTCAAGTAATAAAGGATAGAAGCAAGTAGGTTAAGTCTTTGATATAGAGGTGAACTGTAGAAGATTTTGACAACAGTTATGTTAATGAAAACGGTAAGAATACCACCTAATACTGGCACATTTATAGAACACTTAGCAATGTCTAACGTACTTTATGTAATTTCTACCCTATAGTTGTATGAAGTGAATATTATTATTTGATTAAAACAGTGTCATGGAGCTGTTCAAAGTCACACAGTTAGTTAAGCAGCAGAGAGACTTAAAACTTTCTGAGAGCTCTCCCATTCACTAACAGCTCTTTATTTTGTCATGAAATGTGGAAAATATCCTCACCCAAACTCCAAAATCAGCATATACATAAGCACAACATTTTTTACTCTCAATCTACCCAATACCCCTTTCTACCAATTCTCATAAAAATTCTTGGAGTTCCTATTGCAGCAGCCTTTATTTCTTCATACCAGTATAACCAAGGGCACAATGAAAGACTTCTTTCAAAAGGGAACCACCTTCAATCTAAGTCTTGTATCCTATAACTGTCCCCAAAATGGACATCATCACAGGCATAGGCTTTTCAAACCATTAACTAGTGAGGAAATGTCTCAGGCTGTCTGTTCCTCATTTAAAATCAGTCAAATAGGACACATACTACCACTTCATTCCTAAAAGTTGAGCAAGAATCACCTTCGTATCTCCAGCTTTCTGGTTTAGCAAGCAGACACCTGACTCTGCGGCCTTGGTAAAGGCCAACCGCACAAGAATAAAAAATGTAACAGAACTAGCAGTTACAGTCTTAGCAATTTAAAAAAAATCATTCCAAATGTTTTGGTATTGAAATCTAATTAAAGAATGCTAAACTACTGGCATTAGTAATTTACTGTAAATGAAAGGTATATTGAAGGTAGAATTTTATTCATATAAAACCAACTATTTTACTTCTGAAGGTTATTATGAAGATAAGGCTAAATTATATGAAAAATGCTAAGCATCCTGCCTAGCCCATAGTAACTACTCAGTAAGTGTCAACTGCTATTAGTAATACTGCAGAAGTATTAAAAATAAAACATAACAATGGAAGGCCATATTTAAAATGAACCAGCAATCAACATTCTGTGTTTAAACATCAACAAAAAACATATACATCTGTGGTATGTAAACATATATATGCTTAAAAATATTTAGAAGATGATTTTGAAGAATAAATAGCAAAATGATGATCTCTGGGAAGACAGAAGGGTGGTAGTCAAATGGAACTTTAGCCTGATATAAACGTCTTTTGTTTTTTTTGTTTTTTTCGTTTTTTAACAAAGGGAAAGTATTCATGAATTTCCTCTATAAATAATTTTATTTTAAAAAGGAAAATCATAGTAAGTTTGTTCAATTCCATAGTTGATTTCAGTATTACATGAAAAAAAGTTTACTGTTTTTTGTAGTTAACATGTTCCAATTTCTAAAACTTCGTTTTATTTAGTAATACTATCAAAGGCTTATGTTACAAACTGCTTTAATAATCTTCTTTATGATATTCCTAATTGCTATATTAAAAATATCTGCTTATGCCACCCCCCAACAATTTTATTAAGTTTTAAAACCACGCAAAGTGCAAAGAGGCTTTCAAAGTCTTGGAAGTCATAAAGCAAAACAGTTTCACATAAAAAGATTACCTTTTCCCCTTAAATTTTGTATGTGTTTACATTTAATAAACTACACACAGAAAGTAGAGCCCTTGATTCTTTTTTTTTTTTTTTTTTTTTGAGATGGAGTCTTGCTCTGTCGCCCAGGCTAGAGTGCAGTGGTGCGATCTTGGCTCACTGCAAGCTCTGCCTCCTGGGTTCATGCCACTCTCCTGCCTCAGTCTCCTGAGTAGCTGGGACTACAGGCGCCCGCCACCACGTCTGGCTAATTTTTTGTATTTTTAGTAGAGATGGGGTTTTACTGTGTTAGCCAGGATGGTCTCAATCTCCTGACCTCATGATCCACCTGCGTTAGCCTCCCAAAGTGCTGGGATTACAAGCATGAGTCACCACTCCCGGCCCCTTCATTCTTTCTAAGACCAAAGGTTTGCCTATTTTAAGTCATTATAACAATTTCAAATGTCTTAAGGGGTGCTATAATTTAAAAATCTCTGCTTCTATGCTCTTGCTAATGTCTAATTCTTGTTTGTACCATTTGTGCCAGTTTTCATATTTTTAACTTTTCTTCTAGTTCACAGCCATAACTTTGACTTTTGCAACCTATTCTTTTTTCCTTCACATCATCTAGATTTTAGTCAATAAAGTGTGTATAAACTATGTCACAAAAGCTCTTATTAACTCCCTGAAAACAGCAAATAGTGGGCCTTTTGTGGCTCAGGCATGGAGGTAAGCCACATGCACCATGGGCTAGACTCAGCCTGGGCCCCTTCAATTTACAAATCCAGCTTAAAATAAATTACAGGCCTCTACTGTTGTCCAAAAAGACCAACACTTCAATGATGACAGAGAGAAAGCAGCCTCGTACTTGAACAGGAGGACACTGGGCTGAATGAGAAATCCCTACCTCAAAGAGCCGTGGGATTCAATGATTATGGGAAGCCATGCAATCTCTTTTAAATAGATTAAAAGTTCAAGAAAGACTTTTACCGTAACTTAATGGGGAACAATGTTTGATCAAAAGGTGTCTCCCTATAATTTCAAATTTAAAATTGTAGATATAATTTGCAGCTAGTAGAGGGCAATTCAGTCATCATCATCATCATCATCAGCTGAAAACAGAAAGCACATGTATCAACAATTTTTTTTCCTTCCAGATGCTCAGCTATGGATCATTAATATAAAGCAGCTATTCCTACAAAAACATACAATAATGTTTCCTCTAGCAGTTAACTCTGTAGTTATAGAAGACTTAAAGATTCTAGAAATCTGAAAGGATAGGCACCTTGAGGCTACTTCATTCTAATCTCAGAACACAGTCAATCCCACACATTCTAGTATTCTCCCCTGTATGCCCTCACGTACCTGGCCTTCTAGTTACCTATTTACTCGTATCCCTCAGGACCATAAATGCCTTGAGACCAGAGACTCGATCTTCTCTGCCTTACTTTGTAAGTCCTATTGCCTGGCATAGAGTAGATGCTCCACAAAAACTGAATGAAACATAATAAATATTAGCCATTTATCTGTTGGCCTCACCGAAGTTCCAGAGGGCAGACTTCAATGAATGCTGATCTCCGCATCCCTACCAGGGCCTAACATACAGTGGCACTTAAAAGCCTGTCACATACATTTTTAAATTCAAGTTTCTAATTTATTTTGAATTTTATTTACATTTATTCAACTCATGATGTGTGTTTACTAAAACGAAACACATTTCTGAAATGAAACAACTCTCTCTCACCCCTGGAAGCTCTTGATAGAGGGAAATAAAACTTTTCAACTATTTTTTAATTCTCAATGTGATAACTACAGAGAAGAAAAGCAACCAAAGTCTGCTGTCCAGTCTTTTCTGTGCTGTTCTGGATGGAGCCTTTGTTGGTGGCTCTTCCTCCAGAATCCGGGCAGAACAAAGCCTTTCTTCAAAAAGAGTCACCCTTTGCTACATAGATTTTATTCAGTCAGCACTCGTCCCCAGCTCTTTCACAACTGTGACATGTTCATTATTTGAAAACTCTCTCTGCCCACCCTGCGTGTGACCATGCCCAGCTCCACTTATGACAGATAGCCAGCTAGGGCAGCATCCTGTTACTGCCCTTGTGAAACCTAACTTTAGTGCTAGCAGCCGTTTCACCACTCAGGAGTTCAATGAAAGATGTTCAGTGTGACCTGCAGCCTGATAGCTGAGTGGTAGCATACCACAGGCCCACCTCCCAGCATCCTCAATTTTGAGATACACACATATCCCAGTGGAAAAGGTGATAACCTTCTGGGAATCTAGATAAATATTTTTGTCAACTTTTCTCCAGGGAAAAAATGGTGATTTAACATTCCCGGCTAGGTGCAGGTGCTCAGGCCTGTAATCCCAACATTTCGGGAGACCAAGGCAGGAGGATTGCTTGAGACCAAGAGCTTGAGACCAGCCTGTGTAAGACAGGGAGACCTTGTCTCTATAAAAAATTATCCGAGGCTGGTGATGGGCGCCTGTAGTCCCAGCTACTCAGGGGACTGAGGTGGGAGGATCGTTTTAGCTTGGGAGTTCAAGGCTGCAGTAAGCTATAATCAAGCTATTGCACTCTAGCCTGGGTGATGGAATAAAATCTTGTTTCAAGAAAACAAAAACAGAACAAGCAACAACAACAACAAACATTCCTCTGAGTCATTCTAGTACCAGATTATTTCCATGTGTTACAATAGGGAAAACTGATTGCAACATGCGTCATGTCACTTACCTAATACAAGGTCAGAACATAGACACATGAGCCACATATGATTCCTTCTTCTAATCCTCCTGTTCAAAGCAGTAAGATAAATGATTTATTCCTCTTGACTTTACAAAATGAAATTAAAAATAAAAATGCTATCGAGTAGAAACCTCCTTGTTCTACCCTGGTCCTCTGGTCAGACACAGAATTTTAAAGTTAGAAAGGATCTTTGAGTCAGATTCCTCATTCAATAAATCTAGTCTGAGACTCACAAAAGTTAAATGGTTTGCCACAGTCACAGAGAACCAAAGCTAGAATAAAGGTCTCCTGCCTCCTCAGCCCATGTGCTTTCCAGAATACCACACTAAAGCGAGTCTCTTGCCAAGAACTTCATCCTGACCTCATAATCCTGGAGAGGCTGTTCTCAGCTTTACTTCACTCCCTACCTCTTGGTAGACTAGCTACATAATCATCCACTAAAAAAGAAAAAAAAATTAAAGAGAAACCTTCTATGTCTAAAAATAACTTAGCAACAGCATTGTTTTCTTAAAGATATAATATTACCCCTAGCAACTGCTACAGAGTTCTTCCTTCCCCACTGTTTCCAAGACAAGATTGAATGTCCTCTAAGACCCTCCTTCCCTAAATGGTCCTCAAGCATGTTCTGAAAAAAAAATAGGAAAGCCCCATACGAGGTCCCTTATTATATCGAGAGAATGAAGTTGGTGCCCATTTGAGAGGAGGTCAGATGACTAGGCACATTCAAGATGGGGAAAACAGTCTTAGAGACTCGAAAGCAACAGAGGACAGCTCCTGTCACTGAACAAATATTAATGAGAATCTGAGTGCCAGGTCCTGTGTTACCTGATGCAGTAACTGACAGGGACATCCTAGAAAACAAGCTTATGAAGCTACTAAATAACTGGTAATTCTCCCCATAAAACCCATCACCATAAAATCTGTTAATCCAATAATCCAAAACATGTTCCAGACCTTAGACTTCGCTATAGAAAATATCAAATACATAATTTGGTATTTTAATTTCAAATCTGACTATTTCTACTTCTTTTCTCCTAGACTAAGGAGTAAAGAAATAGTTCAAATGTGGGCAACAGGAAAAATGAAAACAGTATTTTTTAAAGAGATAATATGAAAATAAATCCAGAAGATAATGAGTAATAGGATATCAGAGTATAATTTTGATGGTTTAAGATTCCTTTTACCTGAAAAAGTGGAAATTAAGGTTGTGATAACTTAGGGTTCTCATAATCTTTATACCCATATAAAAGTTAATAAAAGAAATTGTGCATAAATTTAAAATTACAATTTAGTAACAGTCTGAGTTAAAAATCTTAGATCATATTAATGAAAACAGAGAAGCAGAGAAGTAAAACATATTAAATTTCTCATTTGATACTGAGGGAAATCAAGAGATACCATCCTATTCTTGACTGTTAATGATAGGTATCACATAAATTTAAAGTTAAAAAAAATCTTTAAAATAATCCTTGGATTTCAAAGCCTCTTAGATGAACCAAAGTTAAAAATGAAAACCAAATTAAACACAAAACTTTAAATTAAAACAGCAAAAAATTCAAAACACAATGAAAACAAGGAAGAATTTCAAACAGAAAGCTGAAAAGAAGATCAATAAAGTAAAACCAATTAGAACAATTTGGAAACAAATTTAAATGCATTAAATATTTGTTAAGGGACAAAGGACATAGTTCTTTTTAGGATAAAAAATGAAATCTAACTAAGTTCTACTTTTAGGAAACATACATAAAAGTAATGACAAAGAAAGTTGAAATATAACAGGAAGCACAGATTTATGGAGAAATATAAACTAAGGTAGCAATATCAATGTCAGCTAAAACAAAACACAAGTCATAAATTAGAAAGTCATAGCTGGGTGCAGTGGCACACACCTGTAATCCCAGCACTTTGGGAGGCTAGGCCAGAAGGACTGCTTGAGGCCAGAAGTTCAAGACCAGCCTGGGCAATATAGCGAGGCCCCGTCTCTACAAAAAATTAAAAAGAAAAATTAGCCAGGTGTAGTGGCACAACAATAGACCCAGCTAGCCAGGAGGATTGCCCACTTGATCCTTAGAGTTTGGAAGCTGCAATGAGCTATGATCATGCCTCTGTACTCCAGCCTGGGTGACAAAGCAAGACCTTTTATTTAATGGAAAAAAAAAGAAGTCATATTACTCTAATAACAGCTATAATCCTCAATTGAGATGTTGACAGTAAATAACACATTAACACACACACCAAAATAAAAACTTATAGAAATATAAATAATTAAAATTAATGGAAGAAATCAGTGATTTACAACTTTAAGCGTTTGAGAGATCAGACAAAAAAAATAATAAAATTCAACAACATAGTAAGTATTTAGGTATCTCCTGAAGAAAACTTCTTTAAAAAGGTCTGTGTAACTTTACCAAAACTGATCATAAGCTAGTCCAGAAATACAACCATAAAAATCTAGAAAAGCAGAATGCCATATATTAATAATCATTCTATTAATAATTAGAATGCCATATATTAATAATCATTTTATTAATACTATTCTATTAATAATTAGTACCAAAAGCTTAAAAGTAACTTGAAAATTTGCAAAACATTCTCCTAAATTATCAATCAAAAAGGAACTCGTGGCATGTAATCATATGCTATTTTAAAAACTACTTTAATTGAGAATACCATACCAATATATAGAAAATACAGCCAAACAGTATAAAGAAAAACTTAAAACTCTGAAATGCTTTCCATTTTACATTAGTGTATAAATTTTCTGCCATAACAAAGAGACTCAAAAGTAGCTCAAGTGAGAAAGAAAATCTTCTTTTTCATGTCAAAATACAGGGTGACAGGGGAAGGTTTCACAAGATCATTTGTGGACCCAGGCTGGCTCTGCCATCTTCCATGTGGTTTCCAACGTAGTTCCCAACTAAGATGGCTACTGTAACTGGTGTAACATCCCAGCCAGCAGAAAAGGAAAAAAGAAAGTCTAGGGTAAGTGGCTTGTCTTAAATGAGGTGACCTTACACACATTACCATTCACCTCTCATTAGTCACACAGCCACACTTTGCTGCAAAAGAAGCAGAGGAGCAGTTTCTAGATGGGCAGTCATGTGCTTAGCTAAACTCTAGGGGATCCATTCCTAAAAGAAGGAATAGATTCTGGGCCGCGCGCAGTGGCTCACGCCTGTGATACCAACACTTTGGGAGGCTGAGGCTAGCAGATCACAAGGTCAGGAGTTCAAGATTAGCCTGGCCAATATGGTGAAACCCTGTTTCTACTAAAAATACAAAAACTAGCTGGGCATGGTGGCAGGCGCCTGTAGTCCCAGCTACTTGGGAGGCTGAGGCAGAGAACTGCTTGAACTTGGGAGGCAGATGTTGCAGTGAGCCGAGATCATGCCACTGCACTCCAGCCTGGGCGACAGAGTGAGACTCCATCTCAAAAAAAAAAAGAAGAAAAGATTCTAAGGGATACCGGTATGTCTTCTAACCAGTTTTTCTAGTTAAAAAACAAGAAATAAAATTCAACTCAAGAAGTTAAGAACAAGAAAGCAGAACCAAGAACACACTGTAATTATTTCATTTTATCTGGCTGCTTCTTAGTGTCAAGGGTATTACCAAACATCAATTCAAGAAACTGGAAATGTACATCAGTGCATTCTGAGGATTCCAATACATCAAACCACAGACTAGAAAGTATACTGAGAATTCATCTACTCTATACTCTCTTTCCTTATTTAAGGGCTTTTAATTCATTTTTTAATGTATATTGTATACACTGATTTATCTAAATGGATTTTTCAGGGTGACTAAGTTTTAGCATTACACAAAGGTCTTCTAACATTAGACAGAAGTTAATCTTTTGCTAGTAAAACAACTTTCAAAATTTGTGTACCGGGTTTTTTAAAGCAATGTTACTGAGATAATAGTTTATATACAATAAAATACATAAATTTTAAGTGTACCTTTCAGTGGGCTTGGACAAATTTATATCTCCACATAATTACTGCCAGAATCAAGATATTGAACACAACCATCATCCCAAAAAGTTCCCTTGTACTGCCTCCAGATCAATCACAACCCACCCTTAGCTGCATGCAACAACTTGTCCACTGTTCGTCACCATATAGTAAATGTATCTTTTCTCACACTTCTGATATACTAACCTAGAGCAATAAATGGAATCAGTTGTGGTGTTCTGTATCTGGCTTATTTTACTCGGTATAATGATTTTGAAGTTTATCCATATTTCTAGTATATACGATTTTTAAAATGGTAAATGAACATTGGCTTCGACTTCAAGTCACCAGCTGCATTAGCCCCTAGTAAGAGAGTCAGCTTCTCTTTGAAGCTTTGAAGCCAAGCATTGACTTTCCCTCTCTAGCTATGGAAGTCTTATATGGCATCTTCTTCGAATATAAGGCTGTTTCATTTGCACTGAGGCCATTAAGAATTATACTAGGGCTGTGAATACTTATGCTAAATCTACTGTGCTCTGTAAATGGAACAACAAAGCCTGGATGACAGCATGTCTGCTTACAGTATGGTTTACTGAATAGTTTAAGCCCACTGTTGAGAGTCACTGTTCAGAGAAAAAGATTCCTTTCAAAATATTATTGTTCAATGAAAATGCACCTAGTCACCCAACAGCTCTAATGGATATGTACAAGGACATTAATGTTGTTTACACGCCTGCTAACATGATATCCATCCTGCAGCTTATGGAACAAGGAGTAATTTCAGCTTTCATTCCAAGCTCATGGACAGGAAGAATCAATATCGTGAAAATGGCCATACTGCCCAAAGTAATTTATAGATTCAATGCTATCCCCATCAAGCTATCACTGACTTTCTTCACAAAATTGGATAAAACTACTTTAAACTGCATATGGAACCAAAAAAGAGCCCGTATTGCCAAGACAATCCTAAGCAAAAAGAACAAAGCTGGAGGCATCATGCTATCTGACTTCAAACTATACTACAAGGCTACAGGAACCAAAACAGCATAGTACAGTACCAAAACAGATATACAGACCAATGGAACAGAACAGAGGCCTCAGAAATAACATCATGCATCTACAACCATCTGATCTTTGACAGATCTGGACCACTTGGTCTAATATTGACGGTGGGGTGTTAAAGTTCCCCACTATTATTGTGTGGGAGTCTAAGTCTCTTTGTAGCACTCTTTAAACTGAGCAGAAATCTCTCTCTGTAACTTTTCCCCATTGATTCTAGCTATGACTTTCTGTAGCTCTAAATCCAGTCCCTCTTACACTTGAAAGCATTCAAATTACAGAAACTAGGAATGCTAAAGCTGTAATATTTTTATTGTGACTCTACCACTGCATGTGCTACAGAGTCTTGGATGTGCACTTTTCTTCTCTCTAAATCTACCTCCACTGGTACCAGGCTAGACTGGTTGGAGTGAGGGGTGTGGGATCACGGAACTGGGGGAAGTTAGCTGATTACAAATGGACTTGGGAGTATCTAAGGAACAGCAAGAAGGCAAGTGTGGCTAGAGGAGAGTGAGCAAGAGAGTGAGTGACAGGAGATAAACTCAGCAGGTCTGGTAGAACATGTGAGACAACATTTTATACTGTGTGTGCTGGGTAGCCACCGAAGGGTTCTGAACAGAGGAATGACAGAAACTGTTTAACATTAAAGAAAAACAAAAAACAACAACAACAAAAACACCTTTTACTCCTATATGGAGGATTAAATGGAGAGATACAACGAGGAGATAAGGAAGGCCAGTTAGAAGATGATTATTATCACCTAGGCAACTTATAATAGGGCAGTAAGGGTGAGGAGTGGGGTAGGGGTAATTTGGGATACATTTTGAAAGGAAGGCATATAAGCCTTACTAATGGACTGGATATGGGATATGAAAGAAAAAGTCCAACATGACTTTGAGTTTTTGGCCAGGAACAACTGCGTATATCATCTACACAGGGAGAAAAGTTCAAGATTTACATTTTAGACATATTAAGTTTGAAATGTTTATTAGACTCCAAAATGGAGATGTTGAAAAGACATAAAAATAAGTCTAGAACTCCTGGGAGAGACCAAAGTAAAGAAATTGTAAATTTGGGAGAACAGATGGCATTTAAAACAAGGGATCACATGAGATTATGTGGAAAATAAATACAGAAGGCTAAGGACTGAGCCCTGAGAAATGTCAACTTTTAGAGACCATAAAGAGAAGATAGTAAAGGAGATTTTGTATTTTTATGACTCTTCCTCAAAAAGAAGTTAGAATTATTTTGTCTACAAACTATGAAGTCCATAGCCAACCATCATAATCCTCTTCAAAAACCACTTTTTAGAGTCACATGCCTACTCTATTTCTGACTCCTGACCAACTAACAATTTGAATAGCTACATTTCACCCGTCAGCTGCTCAACCACCCCATCCCTGGTCTCTGGCATGTGTTGCAGGTTCTGGATCAAAGTTCTCACAACAACTAGGAACTTCTAGTTGTTCAACAGTTACCAGGAGGCACGTGGAGAGCATGTTCCCAAGAGCTGCCAAAAGTTCTTGGCATGTGATCAGTGAAG